CCCTACACGCCACGATTTTATTTCATTTTTTTGTCATATATATTTTATTTTATTATGTTTTTTTCCCTATATTGTAGTCTTACGGCCACACAATAATGCCACAAGATATAGAATGTACAAATATACAAATGCCACATTTAAACCCCCTCCTCCCCATTCCCAAACCCCTCCTTTGCCCTCCCCACACCCACCCTTAACAGACACTGGAAAATAAATAAAGAAATTAATAATAAATAATAATAATAATAAAAATAAAAATACAATAGTAAGAGTAGTATGCACCACAACTGAACAAAGCCCAGAGTGACCGTGAACGCGCCAAACAAAGTCCCACTGACCCACCGAACTGTTGTGTTTCGTTTAAAGTCCGGTGCGGTTTATTTGTAAAAAAAGTTTGAAAATAGACCATTCTATGACAGTGCGTCTTATAATCCAGAGCGCCCTATAGTGCAGAAAATACGGTAACAATAAACACCTCTATCTTACATTTACTCAGTTACAGGTGGTTTTATTCCTATAAAATACCTATAAAAACAGGCATTCTGACTATGAGTGGGGTCACCTCTCCACAGATCTGACCTGAAACTTGGTGTGGTTTGGTTTCCATGAAGATAAAAAGGTTTAACACCATACTCAGAAACATTCCAGACAAAGCAATAACATCTCCATCTCGGGGCTCTCCACAAGAAAAGTTACACAATGCACCTTTAAAGGAGATGTATTCTGACTTTTAAACAGGCCTACTTGTTGAAAGCAGTGATATTTTCAGATCTAAATAACTATGTTTTTAAAAATGTAAGTATGAATTAGTAGAAATACTCAAGAAAGTTTTCCAGCAAAGAGTTTAGAAAATAATTGTTTATTGGCATTGAGAAGTGAAAAAAACAAAATAACACAAAACAAAACAAAAAAAACAAAACAGTACAGTAGCTCAATAGAGAAAAACAGGTGGTATATTATTATGATTATGCAAATAAGTTGTACTCAAAATTGGAACAGTTAAAAAAATATTCTTTTAAATGCTTTGCTGAAATGTTCAATAAAAATAACAAAGAACGAACTGAGAGTTTCAAATAACAGGTACGGGGGTCAAAAATATTGAAAATTAGATATGAATTGGTTCAAAAACTGGTATCAAAAATGTATACTCATTTGGATAAGTATCAATACTAAAAAATCGCATTCACAGGACAGAACTGAACCTTTTCTGAAGCTATAGAATGATCTAGAGGTGCATCAGAACAAATATAAGAGCGCAGAGACTAATAAACAAACATGAACCACTGAGGGATTACACAGATATAAGACCACATGGGAATATTTATTTATTTATTTATTTATTTATTTATTTCGGTCACAGGTTATTTTATTAATTCATATTTATTTACACAGGCGAAAAGGTGCAGGCTGAAGCTTAAGCTTATTATACCTTTACCCTTTAGTCCTTTGTCAGAGCGTCATCTTGACACCAGTTCATGTTCATAAATACAGCAAGAGGAAACAAACAAATCAGAAACAGAACAACAAAGTACTACAGCACAAACTAAGTGTCATATTTCATGTATCTGTCCAGAGTTAAACATTTAAACATCTTTTTAAAATGGAAGGGAGTGGTGCACAACTTTAGGTTTTCTGTACAATTGTTTCAGAGATCCATCCCTTTAACAGATGCACAACATTTCATAATATTTCTTCTGATTTTCTTTTTCATAAACGTGGCCTGAGCTCATATTGGATATTTCTGATTTTGAACATATTCTGTAATGATTTTGACAAGAGATTGTTGCTTATTTTGAACATGATTTTCAGAGTATAAAGGTCGACTAAAACATAAAATTTCAGAGTTTGAAGGTTTTAAATAACACATTGGTTGATTCGTTATAAGCTGATAATGCGATTGCTCTTATTGCCTTGTTTTGCAAAGTAAAGATTGGATTTGTATTAGTCTTATATGTATTGCCCCAAATCTCATTACTATAGGTTATGTAGGGCATTACCAGCGAGTTGTAAATAATAAAAAGACTGTGTTTATTTAGGATATATCTGTATTTGTATATAAATGTGATTACTTTGGATCATTTATTTCAAATTTTATTTATGTGTGATTTCCAATTTAAATGATGGTCTATAGTTACTCCTAAAAATTTATTTTCAAAGACTCTTTCTAGTGGTGTATTATTGAGCATCATTTGTACACGATATTGTGCTTTTCGTTTTGAAAATATCATAAATTTAGTTTTTTCTATGTTTAGCGACAATTTATTAATATCAAACCAGACTTTTATTTTACCATTTGAAAAAGTTGCCTTTGATCTTCACCTGAGCACATGGGAATATAAAAGAAAGTTCTAAGTTTTAACTTTGAAAATCACATTCTTTGGAGTATCGAGTCAGGTAGTATCATGACAACATTAGTAGCGGGTGACTGGTTTTGCATAAGGGAGCAGTGTGAGTCCTAAATGACGCTGTGCTTCGTAAACTTACTCATAACTTTAATGTGTAACCCAGAGAAAGAAAAAAACACTGAGGCAGGACTGTTGTGATCTGAGCTGTGAAGACATTTACTGTGATAAGATGTGACTCTGTTCTGTATGAGGATCAGACCGACCTGGGTTCACAAAACAGGGACTGGGAATACAAAATAATAGTCATACGAAATTGGTGTCACTATTCACTATGTCACTTTTCTGGACAGGGTTGTTCTGCGACCTCTTGTTTCCACAGAGTTGTTATTGTTTGTCTAGAGTTATATTATTTTAGTTGTATTTAAATTACGTTGGGCAAACCAGATGGCAAAGTCAATTTTCACACATTTAGAGCAGTTCAAACAGTAAACATAAAAAAACATATATATATACTTAAGTGCCACCTAGTGCCTCCGCTCAATTTCAATTCTCTCCAGCGACTAGGCCAGGAATTGGAATACACTAGACCACAGGTGTCAAACATAAGGCCCGGGAGCCAGATCCAGTCCCCCAAGACCTTTAATGTGGCCCTTGGGTGATTTTCTACTAAAATATTTTAATAAAATTTTCTATTAAAATATTGGTAATTTTCTGCGTCGCTGAGCAGAGCAGCGTCTCCAGCGTCTCTGTACGTGGCCCCTCCCACCAGAGCAGCACAAATGAACACTTGTCTCTTTCCAAACGCTCTTAAAGGACGATCGTTTTGACTGTTGACCGTGACACCCTCATCAGAAAAATGTCCAAAATGAGAAAAGTGGAGCCGAGTGCAGGATTTACCCAGAAAAATTGACTTATTCATATTTGCATACACGTTCATGTTAAAACAATTTTAGAATTTTCAGATTTTCATAAGAAAGAGTTCATCAATTAAAAAAGATTTCTGTAATAGATTTGCATTTCTCTGCACAAATATTTGATCTTATTGCTATTTTTGGGGTTTATATGCCATGAGTTTTCTGATCCGGCCCCCTTGGGATCAAAGTAGGTTGGATACGGCCCCCGGACCAAAATGAGTTTGACACCCCTGCACTAGACGGTTTGCAAGAACCCTGGAAGTGCGAGTTTGGGCACCAGCCAATCAGAGAAGAGCCAAACATTCTGTGTTGGCAACGATTCCCAAGATCGAGGATTTAAAGCCAGAACAAAGAGAATGTTTGGTGAATTTTATCAAGGGGAAAGACGCTATTGTCCTTCTTCCTACGGGATTTGTTGCATTACATGCGTCATGACCAAATAGCAGCGATTGGTTCAATAAAAAAGTACCCGCCTACCGTCGAGCGAACGAATCCTAATGCTGTGAGGTCAGACGGTTTCTGTGAAGTGAAACCAGCTGATGAATCAGGCTAAAAGTATGTGCATAATGTTAATAACTTACATTTCATACAGGATTATCATGTGTGCAACTCTGCCCTGAAGTCAGAATGTTCCATAATATGGCATTAAATCACCATGGAGACAAGATGAGAATAAGTGAAAATCTGTACATCTATAAAACCTGAATGATTTCACCAGACTATTTGATAACAAAAGCGCTATATAAATAAAAACATGATGCAAATATTTTCAGTGTTATGTCAAAGAAGTCATACTAGTAATATTACAAATAACATTTTCTAAAGTTCTTTCTATTAGAGTAAGATTATTTTTAAGATTTGTGTTTTTCTACCTTATTTTAAAAATCCTATATTGTACAAAATTTACTCTTGTGAGCTTTAAGACATGTTATAATGTTGTTACCTCATCAAAAGCATACCTGGAGTTATCTTTTGTTTCAGTCACATGTTTGAGTAATCCTACTTCACTAATCTGTTTACATCTCCAAAGCTCAAGGTGCTCTGTTCCACCTTGTGATGTCATAAGGTGGTAGTTTTCAAGTTAACAGCTACCTTTTACCTTTTGTTCAATAGAGATCAGCAATTTCAGGGCTAAAAGTATCCAAATTATTCTAATGAAGTTGTATAAAGTTTAAAAACACAGTGGAGCACTTCCTGTATTACCACATGACCTCACAATTGGAAGAGCGTGTTCTCTGTTCGAGAGAAGAACTCTAAATATGCAGGGTTTGTGTCTTAAATATGTGAATGAAAGAAAACACAACTCCAGATGTGTTTGTGATGAGGAAACATTATAATCAGAAAATAGCCTAATATGGACTCTTTAAGATGTTTTTGTTTAGACTGAACTGTGATTGACCTTGACTGTTATTTCATGCTTTTTTCCGCACCCAGAAAGTAAAAGAAATCAAAAGAAAGAGCAAGAAAAGGGAAAAAAATACTATAAATACTATAATTAACTCTTTATTTGGTAGTCTGGTGTGCTTTTATCTATTTACGCACGGCTAGAATCTCCAAAACGCAAACCAAACGTATCAGAACATTTCATTAAAAGACCATTCAACTTCTCCAACAGTCTGCACGGTAATTATACGAAGGGAAGGACGCGAGGAAACGAGATAAGGACGCTTCGGTGTGTGTGTGTGTTTGTGTGGCACGCCCGGCAGTGAAACAGTTAACCCCCCGGGGTTGGTGGAAGTCCTCTGCGCGCCCCTCCCTCTTTCTCTGTCTGCTTTACCTACGCCTGGGCCCGTCCGCATCTCATCCAAACCTGACTCTCCCCAAAACGCTATTCCTCCGGTAATCCTCCGTGTGAAAGCTCGGGACTCGTGTGTGGATTTCCTAAGATAAACTCGGCTCCAGCGCGCGGAAAAGCGGAGGCGCCTTTTCCGTTCAAACGATGCCAAGGTGCGTAAAGGCGCGGTGGTGTTGTTTTACGCAGCGCCGTCTTCTTCTTTCGGTAGTGGCTTTGCAGAAAGTTTCAGAAAGATCACTTCGTCTAACGTGCGTGATTTTGTGCGTAAAAAAGTTTAGATTCGTGCCGTGCTGGCGGTGTTGACACGTGAGCAGCCCGCCTGGTTGAGAATAACGCAATGTGTGGCCAATAGGAAGCGCCGAGGTGATTCTGTGGGACTTTTCATCGCTTTTCTCGATCCAGTAAGCGTTCACAAATGCCTAACGCGTTCATAACAAATACTAGAACCCAATACAATATGTTTTAACGAGTGAACCGCTGCCTGTGTGCTCGTAGTGGCACGTCATTGTGGTATGTGGACAGTCAGTTAGCCCGTAGCTTTCAAATCGTTCAGCAATGGCACTTAAAAACTCTTGCACTTCTTGTTTTTAAAGGTTCTGTAGTACACAGAATTGACTCTCGTGAGCTTTTAGCCATGTTAGAATGTTGTTACCTCGTAAAAACATACCCAAAGTTGTGTTTTGTTGTCATTCAAACACACCCACATGTTTGAGTAATCCTTTATCATCAGTCTGTCTGCATCTTCAAAACTCAAAATGCTCTGTTCTACCTCTCGTGATGCTGTAAAGTGGTGTTTTTCAAGTTAAGAGCTCCCCTTTTAACTTTTGTTCTCGTAAATATTGGCAATTCCTGGGCTGAAATGATCCAAATGATTCTACTGAAGATGTATGGAGCAACAAGGTGCAACCGAGTGTTTTCATTCTGAGAGAAGAACTCAGCTTAAATACGCAGGGTTTGTGAGTTAAACATGTGTGAATGAAACAAAACACAACTCCAGGTTTGTTTGTGATGAGGAAACTGATGCTTTGAGACCATTCATATCTGAACTTATGACTCATGGGCCAAGTTCTGCCGTCAGACTGATATTTCTTGTCCCCTCAGGCTTTGTTAAGTTTGGCAAAGTTTTAACCTGTTTTAACACCTCAGTATCACATTTTTAGTGGGAGACATGTCTTTGTATTATGTCCCAGGCTTCTATGAAGAGTGTCTGCTCGGTCACGTATCTGTTAAGACGTAATATTTTAATTTTGGATGATTCATTGCGTTGCTCACCGGTCTGTGACCCTACACTTCCTGGCATTAGTTTGGTGATGTAATTGAGCAACACGTATCTAGGACTCATCTTTTATTCATTACATAGGTACTGGAAATGTTTTATCTTATCTATCTTCATGGAGACCAAACCAGACCAAGTTACAGGTCAGATCTGTGGAGAGGCGACCCCGCTCACAGTCAGAATGCCTGTTTTTGAGCAATAAAACCACCTGTAATTGAATAAATGTAAGGTAGTTCTGTTTAAAGTCATACTGTGAAACATTCCAGGTAGAGTAATGACATATTTTCCATAGAAACAAGGAGGTGACATACCCCCAACCAAAAAGTTACACAGTGCACCTCATTATTGTATAGGGCTGGGTATCATTAAGAAGTTAACGATACGATACATACCTCAATACATAGGCTACGATACGATACAGTTTTCGATACAGAGCACATTCGATTCAATACGATATATTTAAAAACAATGCAAAATGGTTAAATCATAGCTGTGATACTAAAAGTCTTTATTAAACCGCAAAGTTCATATGAAAAACACCCATTTTACTCCAAACAGTGAAAATATCAAATGTATAACATAAACAAGTTAACTTTCTCCAAACAAGCAACAAAACTGTAGCCAGGCTGGCGCCACCTAGTGCCTCTGTTCAATTTAATTTCTCTTCAGCGACTACGTCAGGAATTGGAATACACTAGACGGTTTGCAAGATCCCCGGAAGTGTGAGTTCGGGCACTAGCCAATCAGCGAAGAGTCATATATTCAATGTTGTCAACGATTCCCGAGATCGAGGATTTAAAGCCAGAACAAAGAGAATGTTTGGTGAATTTTATCAAGGGGAAAGACGTTATTGTCCTTCTTCCTACGGGTTTTGGGAAAAGCTTAATATACCAGTTAGCCCCTTTAGCGGTGCATTACATACGGCACGACCAAATAGCAGCGACTGGTTAAATGAAAAAAAGTATCTGCCTACCGTCGAGTGAATGATGCATAATGCTGCAAAATCCGTGTATCATTCGTTCATTTGTTTTTCAATATAAAACCAAAAATAAGAAAACGAAAAACAACAGTTTTCTTCGTTATTTGTCTCCAAAACCAAAATGAAAAAACGGATAATGATTCCTTTTTTCAGTTTTCGATTTTGTGTTTAAATGAAGAATGGAAAAAACGGATAACGGCGGAACTGAGACCGTTAGATGGTTTCCACGGAGTGAAACCGGCTGATGAATCGGGCTAAAAATAGATGCATAATGTTAATAACTTACATTTCATACAGGATTATCATGTGTGCATCTCTGTCCTGATTTCAGTTTCTCAGTGGCAAATCAGAATATTCCATAATATGACATTAAATCACCATGGAGACAAACGGATAAGTGAAAATTCAAGTGAAAATTCAAGTGAAAATTCAAGTGAAAATCTGTGTATCTGCTGCGAGGTCAGGTTGTTTCTATGAAGTGAAACTGGCTGATGAATCAATCAGTGAATAACAAAACTGTAGCTTTTTCACAAAATAATTTACTAAAATATATGAAAAAATACTCCTGGCATATATCGATAAAATGGCCCCCAATATCGATGCTGTATCATCAAACTAAACGATACGGTATATCGATATTTCTGTATTTTTGCATACTCCTGTTATTATTGCACCAAGCATGTATGAATTTAAATACAAATAAATTGGATTCATTTGAGGAAATAGTCTGGCATTAATCATTATTTTAACATTGTCAGTCAGTATCAACATTAAAATGGAAAATTACAGAATAATGGCATGTTTTGCTATAAGGATACATTTCATAATAGACTGAGACAGTAATTTAATATTGTGCAGTGTACACCATTCATTCAATCTGGTCTGTCTCGGCTGGAAACCACTATTTCTGTCACCACTATAAGATATCATCATATTTTCTGTACTGACACTGTGTTGTTGTTAACACCAAAGCTAATTGGCTGGACTATCTGTTCAGAACGAGCGAAACGGCACCCTAAATTCCAAAAATAAAATCTTCGAGCTGGGTATCATTAAGAAGTTGCAGATATGATGCATACCTTGATAGATAGGCCACGATACGATACATATCTCAATACAGTGAATGAGTTTTCTTCCACTAAACAAGTAACAGAGCTGTAGAGCTGTAACAAAATAATTACCCTATTTTCCGGACTATAAGTCGCTCCGGAGTATAAGTTGCACCAGCCAAAAAATGCGCAATGAAGAAGAAAAAAAACATATATAAATCGCACTTTTTGTGGAAATGTATTTTTTAAAATCGGAGACCAGAAACCAACATTTCATCTTGAAAGGCAAGTTCTAGTAAAAACACAATAGAGAACAACAGGCTGAATAGGCGAATTCTTCATCCTCTGTGTCACTTCTGCGCGACCTCTGGAGATAAACCATACATCCATGAGGTAAACAGAGCTTTTCTGAATCCCGACAGGATGGTTTCGGTTGTCATTGAAGTTCAGGCTTTGTCGATTCATCCAGTGACTTCCAGGAAAGTTGTAGTACTACATACTGACACAGGAGACTAGAGCCTCTCACGGCTGTCAGTCTGAAAATTTTTATATATAAGTCGCACCGGAGTATAAATCACAGGACCACCAAACAATGAAAAAAAGTGCGACAAATATGGTAGTCAAATGTACCAAAAAATACTCTTAGCAATATATCGATACAGCTGCTCATCATATCAATACTGTATCATCACATTAAACAGTACAATGTATTGATATTTAGGTATTTTTGGACACCATTATATATACTGTATTATGTCTGTTTAAAGGTGCATTGTGTAACTTTTTTGGTGGAGAGTCCGTCAAATGCTTGAATGTTTCACAGTATGGCATTAAACCTTTCTATCCTCATGGAGATCAAACCAGACCAATTACAGGTCACATCTGTGGAGAGGAAACACCGCTCATAGTAAGAATGCCTGTTTTTCTAGGTATTTTTGAGCTGTAGAACCACCTGTAATTTCATGAATGTGAGGTAAAGCTGTTTAATGTCAATTACTGTGGATCATTTCAGGCATCTCCATAGAAACAAGCAGCTGATGGACCCCCAACCCAAAAGTTGCAGGGAATTTTAATTTAAATTCTGATCCAAGTTGAGTTCATTCAAATCAGAGGTCAGATCTTCAGAATTTTCGAGATCACGTGAACGCAGCATAAACCCAGTGTTTTTGTGTGGCTTTGGACCATGTGTCCGCCCACACTGGAGACTGAATTCACTCAAAGCACCACAAAAATAGACTTAAACTGTATTTAAAACATGGTTATGCAAGTAGTTATTCTTTAAGTTGTGTCTACTGGTCTTAGGACAAAGTTCGATATCCAAAAAGTTTGTAAAGTTTGTAAAATGCTCTGTTAATAACTTAATGTGAGTATGACAGTTTAGAAGACTCATTTCACAAAAACATCAATATTATTTTTAAGATTTTACTTCACCAAAATTAAAAAAGCAGATAACACAGTTTGACCTTTATAATTTTACTTTGTGGTTTCAGAAAGGCAGCAGACATGACGTATGTAAAAGTATTTCCATAACTGTTACCAAGCAGCCATAATGTAAACAACGGCTCAAAATGATCCACACTGTTTACTATTTAACGCCATTTTTAGTGGTCTCCGAATGACTAAAAGTTGAAAAAAGTGCACTCAAACTTTTCCACAATGCAGCTTGAAAAGTAGTGGGTTTTGATTTCTGTTGTATCTTTTTAAAAATAAAAAACAGGAGCAACATGAATACATTTTGAGTTGTATAGTTCAGAGAAAGCTTTTAAAACCTCAAACAAAAAAGTATAAATGAAAATACAAAAATGATAATAATAATAAACTTGCAGTCAAATTATTTGTGTAATTGTG